AATAATTGCGAATCAAAATATGAATTACTAATAGGAAGTTTCATCAAAAGTTATCTGCTAGTTTAACGTAACTAATTATCCTGCATCCCTTAGGGACATTCTGAATTACCTGATAAGTTACACAAATAATTGTTATATACTTACAATTCCTCTAGTCTCAGAAATAGTTTGGGAAATTCCAGCATTTAGTGTTATCAGTGTGATTGCCCTCTGATCTTGACCATTGCCCTCAGTATTCTTGGACTGCACATCAGTGGCTCTAAGCAACTAAAGATAAAAAATGCCCAGCCTCTTTGCCTTTCTGGATAGGAAGTGAGCATTTTAGCAAGAGTCCTCCCTCTTGATTAGTTTCTTTAGGTGTACAGATTTTAGTAGGTTGATCCTATATTATATGTCTATATGAGTTAGTATATACTGTGTACATCTTTCTGCTTCTGGGATAGCTCACTCAGGATGATCTTTTCCAGATCCCACCATTTACCTGCAAATTTCATGATTTCCTTGTTTTTTATTGCTGAGTAATATCCCATTGTGTAGATATACCACAATTTGTGCATCCATCCCTCCACTGAGGGGCATCCGGGCTGTTTCCAGCTTCTGGCTATTACAAATAAGGCTGCTACAAAAGAAGGAGAAAAGAAGTAACAAGTCAGGAGCCTGACACAGAGGACCTCTTAAAGGCTCTGCCTACTGCCAGAGCTGTTAGGTAATCTCTAAGACAACGGTTTGGGGAACAGGTGGCCTCTTGGTTCAACTGTGTTATGTCCCCATCATATTAGTAACAGCAAACACAGACAGACACACACACACACACAGGATATATATATGGGGGAGATACCCTTTAATAAGAACTGGAGCTGCTCAAAAACTCTGGCAAGTGACAAGCAGCACACTCTTCATCAAGGAGTATCAGAAAGGAGCCCACCACAAAGGGCCTCTGAAAGACTCTACCCAGCAGTGTATCGAAGCAGATGCTGAGACTCATAAACAAACTTTGGGCAGAGTGCAGGGAATCTTAGGAAAGAAGTGGGAAACAGTAAGATCTGGAGAGGACAGGAACTCCACAAGGAGAGCAATAGAACAAAAAATCTGAGCACAGGGGTCTTTCCTGAGACTGCTATTCCAACCAAGGACTATGCATGGAGATAACCTAAGACCCCTGCACAGATATAGCCCATGGCAGTTCAGTATCCAAGTGGGTTCCATTGTAATAGGAACAGGGACTGTCTCTGACATGAACTGATTGGCCTGCTCTTTAATTACCTCCCCCTGAGGGGGAAGCAGCATTACCAGGCCACAGAAGAAGACACTGGAGCCACTCCTGATGAGACCTAATTGACTAGGATCAGAAGGAAGGAAAAGAAGTCCTCCCCTATCAGTGGACTTGGGTAGGGGCATGCATGCAGAGGGTGGAGGAAGGGAGGGATTGGGACAGGAGGAGGGAGGGAACCACAGGGAGGATACAAAATGAACAAAGTGTAATTAATAAAGAAAAAAAAAGATCAAAAATGCTTGAGAATTTGCACCTGCATTTAACATATGGAGATTTTTAGTTATCATTATCCTTTCAAAAATAGAGAATAGCAGTGGCTTATATCACACTTCCATCATAGTTGATATTACAAATAATTCTAGCTCTAGTGGGTTAAAGCACAGTAGTGAATGTCCATAGGTTGGAGCAAATAAGGCATCCTATTAACATAAAAAGACCAGAGCATGTGACAAGTGTTGTGCCTTCAAAGAACTCCTGGAATCAACCTAGTTTGTTATCAGTGAATCTCAAAAGAAAGGGCACTCCGAATGAACATTTAGACTATGGCATAACCTACAAGTCACTTTTGTCCCAAAATGTGACACAGATTTGAGTTTTCTATAACATAGAGAAATAAAATGGAATATGTTTGTGATTTTTTTTTTTTTTTTTTTTTTACCTAACTAATAGTGGTTCTCAAATGATAGCGCATTTCTTTGTGATCCAGGACCAACATTTAAGTTTATCTTCTGGTCTCAAAAAGCATGCCACAGCATGCATACACATACAGAATCATATAATTGTGGAATTTTATTTTTGTGTGTGTTGTGATAGAGATGAAACTTGTGGCCTCACACATGCCAGACACATGCTCTGCCTACAAGCTGTTTCCTGATCCTATAGACTTATAAATTTGCATAGGATAGGACTGAAGCTCCTGCTAAAGTCCTTGACTTTTCCTCTCATATTCCCAAGGCTGGTAAATTTTAAGCCAATATAACTAAATATATGTATTTGATTTGGTGGAGTGAGATTTTGTATAGCTGTGCCTGCTGATACTTAGTTTCCAATATTTGCTTCTCTTGCTAGTACTTAAAAATACAGGGATGGTTTACACTTTTATGGCAGAGTGAATGCCTAGAGACCACAGGCGCTAGTTTTAACACCAGCTCTGTAAAAATAGATAGAATATTAATAATAATAACAATAATGTCTATGAAGGAGTACTGGCAAATTACTGCTGCTGAGTTTTGCATTCATTGACTTTGTTTCTAACTTTAATGACCTGTGGGAGAAAGCACCCTAGCATAATAATGGATAAGAATCATGGCAGTTTTTCCAAAAGGAAGAATCACCACCTTCATCAACTACCTGTTGATGAAGGATTATTTACCACCCTATATTTTTCTGTAGCCTACATGATAGACAGCTGTTTAGGCAACTGCAGAAATCAGATACATTAAGACTTACCAGGGACAATAAAAACTTTTTTGCCATAAGAGTTAAATTTAGATGGATCTCTATTTGTTCACCCAAGCCCATGAAAACACTTAAAACCATACAGAAACTTCAATAAATGTTGTTTCAAATTAGGGACAAAATCTATTTTTAAATGTGTCTTCCTTTAAAATAAGTTCCACAGTATATTTTGATCATACTGTTTTTATCCCCAAACTCCTTCCAGATCCTCCAAAGCTCCTATCCACCCAATTTAAAATCTCTCTCTCTATATAGATAGATATATCGATAGATAGATAGATAGATAGATAGATAGATAGATAGATAGATAGAT